TTTGTAGGAGCTGGGAGGATAGCTGCTCCCTGGCTGCTGAGAGTTTGCTTTCACTGAAGTGCTGGCAAAGGAGAAAGGGATGAGGATGTGTAGCAAGGTATTAGCAAGGCGATAGCAGGTTTGGAGAATGGCCTTTGAAATGCAAAACCTTTTTTCCTACTAGTGTATAAGACCAGTACTGTCCCTGCAGAGCTGGTGAGCTAAAACCCACAATGCAGGAGAAGATGTCCTGTCCATCTCTCATTGTCTCTTGATCCTGGACTGGATCTGGAGCCTGTGCTGTCCTCACAATATGGGGCTGTCCAGCTGCTACTTGACTGCACAATGCTTTTGGCATCTCTGAGTGCTGAGTACAGCAAGCCCAGGTGGAGGTGCAGCTTGGCTTGGAAATGGGGCACTCTGGAGCCTTGTAGGGGCATTTCTCACTGCAGGGCTGAGCACTGAGAGCAACCTGCTGCTCTCCTTCACAGCAACATAGGTCCCACCCGTGGACAGGAAAGGAGAATCCCCAGGACGTGAGAAACCTTCAGCCAGTGAGCCCAACTGAAAGGACAGTTCTTGACTGCTCTTTCTCTCCTCTTGCTCTGGCAGTGGGACGCTCAGCTGCCTGCCATACCCTGCAGAGGAGAGACGTCCTGAAAAGCTGAGCAGCTGCGTGGTCAGAGAGACCTCCACCACCAATGGCTGTGCGAAAGGGAGGGAGAGACGAGACCATGCACACCGCAGGTCACGCAGGTAGGAGCCAGGGCTGCAAACAAAGTGGGGGGATGGCAGGGTGGGTGTCTGGCTCTTTACTCAGCCCCTCTGGGGCTCTGTGAGAGCTATGGATGGCTTAAATGACTGTATGAGTGTACAACAAATGTATGTGATTGTACAAAACCCTGTGCGTGTTTGCAGGGAGAAACCTGTAGTTCCCTTCTACTCTATGGCTTGCTCTTACAGTCTCCTTCCAAGTAGCCCTGGCTGGAAGATAGCTGAGCTGCCAACATCCTTCTGCACTGCCAGGTCTGCTGGGAATCTCCCTCAGCAATTCTCCTCTCCCCATGCCTAGATCAGACCAGCAGCACTGGCTTCATTAGGACACAGCTTTATTATCAACATGCCGTTAGTCCCTGACCACTTGAGAGGGGAAAAAATGAATGGAAGGTTGTAAATGAAGCAGCTGGGGTCTCTGAGCTCTGCCTGCTAAACTGTCTCTGGGATAAAAGCCTTGCTGTTTGGTTAAAGATGCTATGAAGAAAGAGCAAGAAAGCACATTTCATATCTTCAGATTTCAGGCTAACCGGAACAATAATCTCCAGCATATTTTTAATTAGACTTTGATTATAATCGTGGAGAAACAATTAAAGTCAAATCAGCACATGGAAGAAAGCTTCCACATCAAAGACAAAAGACTTTATCTCAGGAAAGGGAGAAGGGCTCTGCAGAAACTGCCTGTGGCCACATGGTCAGATATTTCTCCCCACTCTCCCTTGGCTGTGGCAGTGCCTGGCTGTACCCCTGGGTGAAGGGGCTGAGGTGCACCCAGCCCAGTGTGCTGGGGAGCCCAAACTTGTGCCTAGGGAAAACACATGGGAGCTAGGCTTGAGCATCCTGAGGATGAAAGTGCTGGGAGCAGTGCTCAGGTCCCTGCTCTAGCATGACCCTGGGATGTCTCTGGGCAGGTGCCTGAGCTTAATGACAGTGAGACATCCTGGAGCAGGCCAAGCTGTGCCATACCCTCTAACAGTGCTGCTGCTGGTCTGTGATATCCTAAGGAGGAGTATGTGGGTGCTCTGCAGGGCCATGCTGTGGTTGCACCTCAGTTTTACTGCACCAGAAGCACTCATAATTCACAGCTCATAACCAAAGCATTAGCTCACAGTTTTGTTTTGCAGAGATCTTCTTTTTTTTCCCAAACTGTATTAAAAGCACTAAGCAATTGGGTTTTTATGATGGTGTAATTTTAGTAGTGAATTCAAGCCCTGGGTGATGGAGTGTTGAGGGGCAGTGGAGCCTTAGTGTCCCCCCAGAGTGCTGTTTGCTCCATGTTAGGACTTTTATCAGCAGTAACATTTGTTCTTTCTGCAGAAAACCACTCAATTTTTGGTCTGTTTTGTAGTGAAGATCCCACAGTGTTTTCCAAGCATGGGGCTGCTTCCACTCATTCCCTATTTCTGGCTCTTCCCACTGGTGGGGTGAGAAGTAGGGAAACTGAGGCACAAACCCAGCACCCTCATTTCCAGCAGTGATTTTGGAGAGGCATTGGGGAGTTGGGTGGGCCTCCCACAAACCTTGGCCCTAGATTCATTTGGAGATCCATGGACTAATTTGGGGATCAGCCTGGGGATCCACAGGCTGCCACCAGCTCCCCCATCTTTACAAGCATTTGCTTAGGTTAATGAGTAGCCACAGAGAATCTGTTGTATTTTCAGCCCAGTGCTTTGAACTAATTAACCATTGTATTTGCTTTTCATTGAAACATAACCTGATTCAGCATCAAATGTTTAAAAAAGAAATTAATTTAAAGGAGGGTTTATTTTCAAGATGTAACAACTGTGTGAGAGATTCATATCTCCTTCAATTACCATAGGGCCTCAATAAATACATATATATTTCTAATCAATTGCTGCTTAACACATGTCAAGTCTTTTATTATAGTGAGATGCAGCTGGTTGCAATAATTACTGTATGCAAATTAAATGCCAATTAATTATTTAAAGCATATTTACAAAGAGCAACAAAACCTATAAATCTGTTACGAAGTCGTTAACCTCAGCAAACATGTTTTAAGTAATCAGCATCGCTGTGGTGTAGCTGTCTCATGATATCTTCATTAGACCCTTCATTTAAGCTGTGACCAAGTAATTAGTTAGAGGGTAATTAGGCATTGCCTGTACCCCAAGTCCACTGTGAACACTGATGTTGCTGCCCCATGTCCTGAGGTGGGGATGGCAGACAGAGTCCCATGTGAGCTGATTCAGGGTTTATTGTTGTTATTTTTAATGCTTTTTGGGTTTTTTCCTTACTCCTCAGCCCTTCATGTGACGGGGAGCGGCCGCTGCCCACTCGAGGGAAGAAGAAGAAGAAGAAATCTGGCCGCAAGAAGCGCAGGAGGTGAGGGAACCATGGCAGAGTGAGAGGACAGTCCCTGGCTGGGTGTGAGGGAAGAGGGTCAGGGAAGGAGATGAGGTGGCCATGGCAGTGTGTGGAGCAGGAGGGGGTGGCAGCCCTTGGCTGGGCATGAAGGAAGAGGTGTAAGATGGAGGTGCAAGGGACTGGGGGTTTCCACAGCAAAGGGAGGCACCACCATCTTCTCACCCTTCCCTCAGGGCAGCAGAGCTGGGTTGAGGCTTACTCCTGTCATCATCCCACTCCCACCAGGAGCCTCCACCTCCTCTTTGCCTTGGGGGGTGCTGCTGGTTGTGGGGTGACCAGGAGGGCTGTGGAGAGCCCTGCAGTCCCTAATGCCCCTCTGCCTCCTCAGGTCTCCCTCCTACAGCCCCTCACCTGTGAAGAAGAAGAAGAAGAAAAGCTCCAAGAAGCGAAAAAGAAACAGGTATTTTTCCCTTGAAAATATAATTCCTTGCTGTCAATGGCTGTCAGGGGCTTGGAGAAGGGGTGGAAGGCAGTGCTGCCTTGGGCAGGTGTTGAGCCCAGCAGGCAGAGAGCTGTGAGGCTCTGGCTGTCAGCTGTGACCACCCAGAGGTGTACACTGCAGCCAAGGAGGAGCATGGCCAGTGTCCCTGTGGGTGAGGAGGGCATGAAATGGGGTGCCCACCCAGTGTAGACAGACCAACATGTGCTGTTGGAGTGTGGGGGAAAAGGCACAAATGAATCAACTCAGTGTGAGGTCTGCAGAGCATCAGCTTACTGTCCTATACACATGGTTCCTGTCCTCTGGGATGCCAAAGGGATTGGTGCTCAGGGCTTGTGATGGTCTGCAGAAAGTGTCAGGACCAGGAAAAGGCTCTGATCAGCTCCCTGCATCCACATTCCAGTCTCCTCTCCCAGCCCCAGTGACTGCCTCCACACTCCCCTTCTGAAGCCCATTTTTAATTCAGAGAGCATGATTAAATTTTAAAATTGCAAATATTTCACTGTTTTCTCTGGGCTGTTAAACCAATATTTGAAGAGAACAGTGGATGCTATCTCCCCTGAAAAGTTCGTGTATTTATAATATATTGAACCAGAGAGAGAAGCTACCAAAAATGGATAACAGGGTGAAAAGTTGAGCTTGAATCTTAAAGAAGAGAAAGGGAGGAGAAGAGACAAGGATACAGAAACTCCTTTAAAACACTTTCTCGCAAGGAGGGATTCTCGTGCTCTTTTATGGATGCTATCTCCTGGTGGAAGTCCTTGGTCAGAAGCCCTTTGCACTTTTAGCACCCATTTCTGCCCTTGCAAGCCAAGGATAAGCTGTAGCTGGTCCCATAAGGTACCATGCTAAACCACTCAGGATTAGTGACAATGGAGGTTGTCTCCGGACACTGTAGCACTTCAGCTACAGACCCCAGCTGACTTTGCCAGCAGAAATCTCACAGCCCTTCCAGGCAGGAGTTCAGGCCATGTGTTGTGCAGGATGTTGTGCTCCAAGCTAAGATGAGATGGGGATGTGCAGTGTACTGGGGCCAGGCCTTGCTGCAAGGGAGTGTCCTCTTCGCTCCCAGAGTGTTCTCTATGAGAAAAGTGTCTCCTGTGCCATTCCAGGGATGCTCCAGGAAGCAAGATGGGCATGACACTGGTTTGGCTGTGAGGCTGCTCTGGAGTTACACAGAAAGGATTTTTCCTTTGACTGCTATTTGGTCCTTCATAGAGAAAACCAGGGAATGGACTGATCCCTGCCCCCTCAGTGTGCAGTGCAAAACCGTGGAGACAGTAGCAGGGAAAAGGGACCAGAGACAGGGGACGTATCTGGTCTGTCTAAAGACTTTTTATCCTGAGGATCAATTCTCAATTGTTTGTAGAGTGTGCTAGTCACTTCTACCTCACCAGCATTTCTCAGCTGCTCCCTCCCTAGCTGGCTAAAGGAGAGCCAGGGCCATTCTGCCCAGCTGGTACACGCGGTGCTTGGTCTGACACTGGGCCTAAACACATTGTCTCTCACTCAAATTTCCAACATTGTGAGACCCTGTATTCAATGTACATATTTGTCTCTTGCAGGTTATCATCAAAGAAGAGAAGACATAGGTAAGAGTTGAGCAAGTGTGGGTGGTCCCTTAGAAACATGAGTTTAATGGTCTGTTCTAGGTTGATGCTCACTAGGTGCAGGCAGAAGACACTTCTTTTGTTTCCTTGTGGAATCCCCTTGGCTCCCTCTATTCCCTGTGGGTCTGAGGCTACTCTCACCCTGTTCAGCCTTGTGTGTTACTCAGATGCCACAGGAATTGGGTCTCCAGCCCAACCTGTGTAGTCAAGCACATAACTGGAAAAGACCTCTTGGTATAATCTAGCCCCTGGCAATCTCATGTACCTCATCAAGAAGTATTCATCTTCTCTATGGAAAAAAGCAAAGTCACTGAGATGGCTGATCCCTTTGAGGGTTTTGGCCAAGCCCATGAGGCAGATTTGTCAGCAGGCACTCAGACCCCCTGTGCTGTGGCAGAATCATGAATCCCTTTCATTTCTTACTGCATGCTCTTGGGCAATCTAGCTGTAACATTGATGTGTGATTGTGCAGCTTTTTATCAGAACAGAAATCTCCGAATTAATTAGCCATTTCTTATTTAGTTCTTCAAGCCCCAAAAGTAAGAGAAAGGAAGAAAGAAAACACAAAAAACAGTAAGTAGTGATTCATGGAGTTCCCTGCCCTGCCTGCACAGTGTGGGGCTAGGAAGTGTTTGATGTGGTGGGGCCCCTGGAGCTAACACCTGCTGCACAGCCCTAAGCAATTCTCAGGATTATTTTGCAGCTAAAACCAGTAGTTCTGGTTTTGCTGGAATGAAAAAGGGTTTATAGAGGCTGGAGATCTTTCCTCTCCCTCTCCTTGTGACACCTCATGCAGTACTTTGTGTATCTCACAAGGATGTGCAGTCTTGTTCATCCAACCCAGAGCAGAGACTCCAGTTTTTCTGATGAGGGCAGTACAAGAGAATGAACTCCAATATGCCCAAAGAGCAGCCTGGCACACTCCTGAGAAGGGCCTTGGCTCCTCCTGGTTTGCTGCTTTTGCAGGTTACAGTAGGGGCTACTCATGATACACAGTGCAACCAAGCATCTGAATGGGGCCTAGGGAGGAGTTTGGAGTCGGTGGAAGTTGTGAAAAATCTAGGGCTGAGGTTCCAGTCTGCCCTGGAATGTTAGTAGATTGTCCTATGAGGCAGATAATCAAGGGGTGGTTATGGTATAAAATGGATTTCCTCAGCACTGGAAGGAAGGACTATAAGCTGCCTCTGTTTATTACTTCCTTCTCTGTCTTCTCCTGGGCATTTCAACTTGTGGCTTCTCACCTGCTTTCAGAGCAAGGAAACAGTTCTGGGCCTGAACCCTGGGCACTGATCCCCTGGTTGTCTTTGCTGGGAGTTGGGATACTGCCTGCACAGGCCATGTCTATTGCATGCAGAAGGACTGTCTCCTTTTCTCTGAAACTTCTGCATGCTCAGTGGCACAGACACCCTTTTTGTCCTCAAACTGGGCTGCCACGCACCTAGAAATCTCACTGGTAAAAGGAAGGCTTCCTAGGTTACCCATAAAAGCAGGCATCTCCCAGCCTAACATAGCAGCACACTAACAGTGTGGTTAAAGCAGAGATCCATGTCCTGCTGGTGTGTCCTGACCTCAGGGAACGAGAGCTGCTGGAATTGCTCTTTGGGGATAAACCCACCAAGGTGTTTTAGCCTGGTCTTTCTGCTCAGAAATCAGAGATGAGCCACTCCCAGTTTCTTCAAACCTTATTGCTCCAGGGTGTGGATCAGATGGATCCCACGAGCCATCTTGGATGAAGATTTTTGTATAATCACAGTGCTTTGGCTTATCTTTGCATCCAGCAACTGGTTATCTAAATCACACAGGACCAGTTTTTCTTCCTGCAGGAAGGAAAAACAAACTGGAGGGACTTGTGCAAAGGGTGAAGAGCAAATATGGAGATTTCCATACAAATCCACATGTGAGGGAGAGATGTTCTGTGTTGCTGTTCTCAGCTGCATGGAAGTAAGGAAGGAAGATCTCAAAATGTGATGTTTTAAAGCATATAATTTTAGAGTGTGAAAAGCATCAAAGGAAACAGCCAAGCAGAGTTGAAGCAATTGCCCTAAAGGTTGCCCTTTTGTCTTAAAGGAGATGCTGTGCTCAAGAAATTATTTGCTGAGTTTTAATACCAGCAAATTGCTAAATGCTGTCCAAGCAGGTCATATTTGTGCTGTCAGTGACTGTATAGTGTGGCTGTTCCCACCAGCTAACCCACTGTTAGCTTCACCTGCTGGCACAGTGATGCCAGCCTGAGTAGACAGTTATGCTGCCAGGCCTAAAAATAGCAGCTGTGGTGGGCAACAATGAAAGAGAATGGGCACAGAAAGTGGCAGGTAGGCTGCACACAGGACTTTGGCTGTTGGCATGGACAACAACAGCCATTCTGTAACAGGGCCAGGTAATCCATCAGAAACAGCCTGGATGGTGCAAAGGGGAGTGCAGCAGGGCACTGGACCTGCATCCCTGCACATGGTTTGCTGGTGACTGTCCCCAGGCCCTGTCAGAAGAGGGATGAGCAGTGACAGGGCACCTTGTCAGAAGCCAGGTAAATGGTCCTGCCCCTCAAGCAGGAACCACACACAGGGCAGGCTGCAGCTAGGGAAGCTGTACTTTGTGTAGTAGCCATGAGGGCTGTCCGGAGGACTGGCTAGATGCTCCCACCTGGAGAGTGTGGGGAAGGCTGGCTGTTATCAAGTGTACTGTATCACTTGGAGCTTGTTCCTCTGCATCTGCTCTTCAGCAAGGAGCTAGCTCTACAGAGAGGGTTGGAGGTTTTTGATGGGTTGTATGGAGGGACAGTACTCCCCCCAAGGCTCAGCAACAGGAAGGTCTGGGTCACTTGCCTGGCTCCTTTAGGCCTGCTTGCCTTTTCTGGATGAAGCACATAGCTCTTCAAAGTCTTGAAAGCTGAAAGGATTGGTGCTGTCTGCTGCACTCCTGCATGCTTGTTCACAAATCTCTCCCCCAGCAGGCTACAGAGCCAACCTAATAGCTTGTTTGTAAAATGCTAGCATAGATCTCAGGAAGACGGCTTGCCTTAATGTCAATGTAGGGATGAAGGGATGGAGAATTTCTCAAACCTTGATGTTCTGTGCAGCGTTTCATACGCCAATCTCTGGTTTAAAACGCAGATCTCCTTTCTGATTTGAATGTTATTGACTTCTGCCTCCAGCTGCTGGCTCCTGCATCCCCCATCTGCTAGCCTAATGCTGGTTTTCCTTTCTGCTTCTTAAAGCTCTCGTGGGCGCACCCGGAAATCTCATCGCCATCGCCACTGCCACTCTCGCTCGGAGAGCTCCGACTCCCACTCCCCCAGCTGCCACAGCAGGTAATGTCACCGCTCCCTGAGCTCAGTGTCCTCAGCACTTCCTCGTGGGCTCAAGGACGTGGTTGTCATAGCCTGTGTGACCCACAGGCTCTCTGTGCAGAGCCACATCCCATTCCGGTAGCAGCAATGTCACATATTGAGGGTTGAGCTGCTTGTGGTCTTGGCCATAGAAAGGTTTTGCCTCCAGGAGCAGTGGCTGCAGCTTTTCAGTCTGACAGTCACTTCTAATCCCCATGGCTGATGATCAGCCCATGACAGCTGATTCCAGCCTAGTGTCCTTTCCTCAGCCCAAGGGCTTTGTACTGCTGATGTCCCAGGAAAGCCTTAAACTTAGTCTTAGCAATGGAAATGTATTTGCCCGTGGCAATCTATAGCCACTGTCTTTGACCTGATTAAAATCTCTGTCCTGTGGATGACAGATGCATCCTGGGGCCGGCTAAGTGGATGCTGGTGCTAGACCCAGCACTGCTGCAATAGCAAGTCATGTGGTTTATACACATCATGAGTTCATCTTTCACATTCTCTGAAAGCATTTGAACAACCCACCCCCACTCTCCCACTTCATTCCTCCTAAGCACTTGGAATTTTCTTATGAAAAGCTGATGATCAGTGTGGGGAGGAATGCTCATGAAAGAGCAGAGTGTGTCTTCTCTTGGAGGTGTATCACCATAGGAACATTCTAAGCTTCATGAAGGTATGGTTTGCCTTGAGCTACCATAAAATCATGACTTGGTGCTGAAGTTTGAGGTTAAGGTCCAAAGGCCTGGATGCAAAATTATTTTTCTTTGAAAGTGGAAAAGCAAGACGTCCCTTTTCTCTCCATCACAACTCCACAGAGAAGTCATGTGAAAGACATTCTCCCACATGCAATGGCCTAGCACAGAGCTGCCAAGGGTTTGTATGGAGCTGGTAAGGGGCACTACTGCAATACCGAGGAATAACGTTTTGTCTGTTGGTGTCTTCTGGAGGCACAGAGCCAGGTCTCGGGAGGAAGGGCGGAAAACACGGCGAAGACACTCCCGGCACCACTCAAAGATCACAGCAAAGCGAAGCTCCTCTTCAGAGGTTCAGGCCAGCCAAAAAGCCAGCCAAACCCTCCCACTCTACAGCTTCCTGTCTCCTAAGGAAGTAGTAAGTATTACACACTGCCCTTCTTTGCTTGAACTAGCCAGAGGAATCTGGGCAAGAAAACCGATATGAAATTTTTATAACTCAATTATAGTGATGTTAGACAAAGTTGGTTAAACTGTATTATTTATTAATGGTGCTGTTCTCCAATGTATGTAAAGTCATTCCTTCCTTCAGCACTTTCACACCCAGGGTGGGGCTGGAGAGGGGAAAAACTTGCAGAGGATTTAGCCTATGAATAATGAATTGAGGACATTTAACAGGGGGAAAAAAGTGGCCTCCAGCAATGATATTTTACAGGGAAGTGTTTGTTATGCAGTTTTTGCTCAGCTGGATGTGAACTTAATTCACTGGTCTTCGCATCCAAAAGTTTAGTCCTTCAGGGTAAGGAAGGGTATCAAACATATATAAAAGGAACATTTATATTTAATGAGTTGGTGATTATTTGCAGGGAATGTTTTCTGACTATCTGGATCCTTCTAGGATCACTGTTGCTCCGGACTGACAAGCCCAGGGGCCAAATTCAGAACTTATGAGCAGCCCTCATTGATGCTAATGGGAACTGCATGTGCAGCTGAGGGTAAAATCAGGCTTGGTGCCTTAGGATGTTTTTCCATATACATGGAAAAAGATGATATAATACATGAATTGAGGGATCAAGAGATGGAGAGAAATATTACATACAGATTGATATCAGTCTTCCTTTTCCATGGCATGTTTCCCCTTTGTTCCTGGCAGCAGCAAAGTACAGGTGTGATGCTCTTTGATTGCGGTGTTAGTATCAGATAGGCATTCTGGGGAGATAAATTGCTACACAGGACAGGAGGTAGTGCAGAATCTGGTACTCACACAGGAGGATGCGTAATGCTTGAGGTGTTTTGAGTACGGAGTTCTCCAAGACCTGAAGTGTTTTTCTCCTTCGGGCCCAGTCATCAGTTGGAAATAGCTCAGCCACACGCAGGAGCTACATCAGATATGAGATAGTGCCAGTGAGAGGAGAGACTCTCCCCACTCACCCACACAGACACTGTGCTGATCAAAATACACTGAGATTATCCGTGGGTACAGACAGGCACAAGCTGTCTCTCAGCATTATAGATATGCATATTTGCTCTCGTTATAGACAACTACTAAGTACTGAGTGTGTGGTGGCATGTGAGTCATTGCTTGTAAAGCCATATAAGGCAACGTGGAGAGCAGAACCTGCACACCACGCGTCGATGTGTGCGCACGCACGCACATGCATAGAAAGAAAAACAAGGTATGAAGCTTATTGCCATGAGCTGGAGGTGTTGCCCTCTGTCAGCTTGAGAAAGTAGGAATGAGTTAAGAGCTCCTCCCGAAAAACAACCAGCCAAAGACTGCATCATGTCACCAGGGTGTTGTTCGGTTCAAGCTGCGTATTTTACATAAATGCTTTTGAGTCTAAGCCTGGTTTTTAATTAGTACTAGGTTTTCTCTCTCTGAAGCCAGACTCCCTGAGTCCTGTGAGGCCAACTGCCAGCTGTTCTGCTTCCTGAGAAAGAGTAAACTCTAATTTAAAATTTCAAAAGCTTTAAAATGAGCTAAACTCAAGCATGCTGCACTTCTCTTTCCGCTTGCTTCACTTGAGGTAAATGAGCACACAAGCTGCAGGGCAGGGAAAATCGGAGCTTGATAGTTCCAGGGGGTGGATGCAAAGTAAAAGTCATCAGGACCCTCTTGTGTTCTTTCTAGTAAGAGTTAAAAACAGAGGCAAATATTTCAATGACCAAAAGGCATCATCACTGATGCAACCCACTACTGTCCTTCTGTCCCCAAAACAAGTACGTACTCTTGGGACACCATTCAAGAGCACATCTAAGTACTTGTTTAAATTGAAACCCTTGGTTAAAAGCTGCCCCTGAAATTTTTTTAAATAAGGCTATTAAATATCATGTATTCAAAACTGGCAAGAGAAAAATGGAATGGGAACCTTTAGTCTCATTTATTAATGACTGTACACAACTCTGATACCTCTCCTTTTTGTGAGTTAAATGGTTGCTCTATGATAAAGCTGAGTTCTGTCAGACTCTACTTTGACAGCAGCCTGGATGTGTTCTGAAATGTAATGTCCTCTTGCAGAAAATGTTCACATATCCAAAATAAATTACTGGAAAAGATTTTGTGAACAAATCCAGAATTTGGATTCAAAAATGCTATGTTTCAGTCCTCTATGAGGGTTGGTGTGTCACACTTCCTATCCTCCCATCTAGCCTGAGCATCCAAACCAAACCATCCTTACCTGGGGAGATGCACTGTCATATCTCCAAAGGAAAGGCATGGTCCCATACAGAAAAGACCCAGGGAGACAATACACAAACTCGTATGAGGTAATGCTATAGCACTTCCAAATCAAAGATTTTGCTTTTTAAGCCATTTTTAATTCTACATTATTTTTCTGCTGAACATTTGAAGCACTTTATGGTAATTCTGCCATCCCCCTCCAGCCCTATTTGGCTTCCTTCCTCTGTACTGAAACAGCCACAATTTCTAACTACGTCTATCTGGATTTGATGAGGGATAAAGCATACAGAATAATGCCCTGCCCATGCATCTACCTTGCTGCTTCTTTCCCTCTTTATGCATAAGTTGATGCACACACACATCTATGTACATATGCAGAAACACCCCGAAGTTTCCTGCTGCTTTTATTTTTTGCAAGTGAATTTCCAAGCTTCTCCCTCTCATTCTCCTTTAATCCTATGCAGCAGCAGTAGCCACCTATTGAGAACAGGATTGTGGGTCTGTGCCTCAGCATGCAGAGAAGCTGTGGGTAATGTGCAGCATTTATTTCTGTACAGAACACCCCTAATCCACTGCAGACACTTTATTCCACACCGACACAGATGTATGATGTGCCACTGTGCTTTCAGTTAGCAGTGCAATATAAATACCTGCAGGGCATGGACCTAATTGCCTTTGTTGTTCTGATGAAGATAACTGCACGCTGCATACGCTTTCCTTGCCAGCTCCTCTCCTTCCACTGTAACTCATTTGTGATGCCACAAATTAACACAGGCTTGAGCCAGATTTCCAGTGAGGCTCAGTGGGGTACGGCTGGTCCAAATGATGCTGTTTGTCTTTGTACTTGTGTCTGCAGGAAGGCAGAAGTGAGGAAATGCTGTGCAGGGGCTGGAACAGAGTGTGATGGAAGTCTCAGAAAACCTTATGGCAGATCTGCACATTGGCTTGCTGCTGTTTGCAGGTTTATAGCCTGGGTTTTAGCTTACATAGGAAAAGTTATTCTTTTAAGTGTTAGGCAGTACATTTCCGACAACAAACGAGGCCCTTGACGAGCAGAAAGGCAGAGTCTTCCATAAATATGGAAGGTTCTCTTTTTTCTTTTCCTGTTCTCCCCTCTCAGCCAGGGGACTGAGGTTACCCCTAGTTAATGTCTGGCAAATCCACAGTGCTGGGACCAGCAGCTGGTGGGGAAGGAGGGTTGCCTGTAGCCATTGAAGGGCTGGACTGTACACCAGGTACCAGAGGAGGTGCTGGAAGGCAAACCCTTGCTCCAAAGTAGTGCCAGCCTGGCCCATGCTGAGGTGGGGACACCCTGGCCTGCATCACACGACACTGGCTGCACCCCAGCAGGCTGAAAAGATCCTTGAAAAGGAACAAACCTTTGTTTGGTGTTCTCTGGAGTTTACCCCAGCAATGGATTGGTGAGCCAGGCTGCTCAGCAGTGTTGCCATCTAGCCCCAAATAACCCAAGCTCAGAGCCTGCAGGGACAGTTGTGTCATTGCCTCCATGCTCTGGGACTCAGATAGCTTTTGTGGTAGAGAAAGCCTCACCCTGCACTCTCCATCTAGACGAAAAACAAGGGCATTTTCCCACTCAATATTCCTTGAGTCAGGGATTCACAATTGTTCAAAAAAAAGAGATTGTATTGAATTCCTACTGCACTGCTACTTGTTTTGTACGCAATAAGATGTTGGCTTTTCAGCTGGAGCTTTTCAGCAAAGGTGAGCCCATTTCCCCAGGTGAAAACTTCCCCCAGCCCCCTGCTCTGGCAGGTGGAGGTACTCCAGGCCAGACACACAGCCTCATCCCCCCAGGGAGCTGCTCTCAGCAGGTGCTGCTCCCTGTGCCAGCAGCTCTGCGGCAGATGTCTGCCGGGCCCTCGCTGAGAGCAGGGCTTGCCGGGGTCATCGACACAAGTGGTTTATGCCTTTCATTAATACAATGCCCAGAAAAAGAGAGAAAGGGAGACATTATGCCTCTCTGAAAAAGAAATTAACTCCACTTTGAAGTGAGTGGCAAAACAAGAGAAAAAAAGACCCAAGAAAGAAGTCCTCCAGCTCTAAGTGAGGCTGTGCCACGCTGATCGCTGATGGGTCTCAGTCCCTGTTCAGCTGAGAAAATGTATTGTCATCTCTCGCCCGAGGGCTGTTTGTGGCACAGTAAATGGAGTTGTTCAGTTTAATTGGAAGAGGAGCAGTGATTGTATTTTTGTAACCTATTAGACTGTGCTGCCTCTTGGTCTGGGATTGCACACAAAATTACAGTCTGGAATATGAGTGAGGGCCTCATTTCTGCTCCCCCTTCAACTTGATTAAATAATGATTTGAAACAAAAAATCCAATAAATACATATCTTGAGTTCCCTTGAGGGCTGCAGTAGGTTCCTTGCTGAAAGCTGGATGAAGCAAAGTTCACTGAGATTATTTAATTACTTATTTGGGGAGGGAGGAGGAATCTAAATGTTCACATAGAGAGAATTAGATTTGTGAAAGAGCAGACTCTTTTAAGACACCCTATTAAAATAAAAAGCCATTAGAATTCAGAATTACACAGAATGGTGTGATTCAATTGAGCTCTGTGCAGTGTTTTCTGATGTGGCCCTCTGTTTCCATCTCCTGTGCCTGGCATTACTTTCAGAAGCTGTAAAATGGGACCAGAAGCAAAGCCAAGCTCGTCAGAGGGGGAATATGGGGATTTGGTCTGAGCAGACAGGCAAGTGGAGCACCCTGAGACTTGTTCTGGCTTTTGCTGCAGGACAGAGGTCTCCTCCAGAGCCAGCAGGAAGCTACTGGCTACAGCCTGGTGCTTTGAGGTGGTGGGGTTGGGAAGCTGCTGTGTCCCCCCTGGCACCTCCCTTGCCCCATCCAGACCCTCCAGCCCTCACACATACTGAGTGCTCCATATTTCACTGATACCCACATGTTGCCCCTTCCTGGAGTGCTTCTGCCACAGATGTTGATCTACAGAGGAGCTTGCTGATCCCCCCAGTCGTTTGACAGATTTTGTGATGTGCTGACAACAGTTTCTGCTTTGAAGACAGACTTCAGTGAAGGCAGAGCAGAAGCAAGGGTCCCAGGTCCTGGAGTCAGTTTGAAAAGCTGCTTTGTAAATGCCAAGAAACTGCTGTATTTCTTGGCAGAAATAACAGCCTTTTGGTTTAGATTGGGAGGGAGCAGAAGCAAGGTGTTTGTGCATGTGATGCTGAGGTCAGTGTCCCTTGGGAGGAGCCCTGTGCCCACTCCAGGCTCTTCCTACCCCTGCAGCTAGGGGAGTACCTCATGTGGCAGTTTTATGCCTTTAAGTGAAAGGTGGTGAAAAGCTGATTGTCTCTGTGTTAGGGTTCAGCCAATGCAAATCATAACCCATATTTGAAAAAAACATCTGGTACTGTATTTGAAAGTGCAGTCTTATATTTTCTGGGATGTGACTGGGGAGAGTGCAGTGGTTCATAGCATGAAGGCCAGGTATCTTGGGGCTCTGGATCATCAGGGTTTCAGAAAGAATTGGTGAAAAACAGAGCTGGGTATCTGGCTCTCTTGTGTTCTTTGACATTCCAGTTTCTACTGGAGAAAGCAAGGATGGGTAGAGAAGTGCTGGAGCTGAGAAATAGCAAGGAGCTGTACCAGATGCTGAAATGAGGACTTGCAATGTGTCTCTCCGCTCATTCCTAGTTGGGAATGTTGGTTTTTGAGACATTTCTGCTTCTGCGTTGAAGGTGCAAGTTGGCGAGTGAAGAAGGATCATTTCATTTCCCACATCTCCTGCTGAGGCTCCTGATCCCTCCAAGTTGGGACTGAGCATCATTTAGAAGTTAATATGGGGTGGCAGATGGGGATTTCATTATGGATTTGCTGGGATGAACCAATTCCTGTCTTTCTGTCCCTTATCTCAGAAGCAGTAATTCTTCTCTCCCTAGCAACACATGAAGTACTTGGAGATCCTCCAGCTTCAGGTGTGAGGAGGGTGAGGATGTGGGCAGTCACCATTTCACAGTCTGTGCTGAGAGCCTTGGTAGTTCTGCTCTGGTTTCAGTTGCTGCTGGTTCAGCACTTGTGTCTGAGGCAGCTGCCCCTGTCCCAGTTAGCACCTCTAGAACTAGGTCAAGAGCAGCCCTCCCCAGGGACACAGATCAGATGCCATGGGCAGGAGAGTAGATGTGGAGGCATCATCTGATGGGATGAAGGATCTCCATGTAAAGCATGACAGGCTGAGTCTGCAGCCCCTCTGAGGATGAGAAAGAACTGGAAAGTCCAGGACTAAGCTCTCCAAAGAGACTGGCCCTGCCCCTGCTGTGTGATAGCTGCTCCAGGTCTCCTCTGCTCCGTGAGATAGTACCAACATTGCAGTGTGTCTTTTTGGCTCAGAATGCCCCAGATTAGTGAGGGCATGACCCAGGTCCCCAGTGTGGAAAGCATGGCACAGAGAGGGGTATTGTGTGCCTCAGAACGGAGCATGAGGACATGTGCAGGCATTTGAGGGAGCACAGCTTGCTGGGAACATGTTGGAGGACTGCCATGAGTGGGGGGAACCAAACCTGTGTGTCCACACTCTGAGGACCCTGGGCTAAACCTCATGGGTGGGAATGAGGAGAGCAGAGCCTCTGAGTGAAAGAGGAAGAGGCCACATGAGAGTGCAGATGCATTGGGTCTGTGTTTGGCCCAAATTTTCATCCCATTGCAAGGGCAGAAGTTAGCACTGACACAGCCTTGCTCCCAGTGCTGGTACATTCCTGGACTAGCTCAGGTAAATGCCAGTGGAGTTAAAATTGAACTATAAAATACTCAAATGATGTAAATCCCCTTGGTGGTGCTCAGGGTCCCAGAAAACAGCCCTGCTCATGGCAGTCTGTGTGGGTTTGGGGTCATTGCTGGCCTCATTGTGTTCAGCAACCCACCAAAACCCATCCAGGGTATGGCTGAGTCCCCACACAGAGACTGGCAGGAGCAGGACTGTCATCCCCTTCCCCATTCATCTCTGATCTTTTTTCCTCAGTTGAGTTCCCTTTGTCACTTCTATGAAACCCAAGGGGATTTAGTGCAAGCTGTGACTTTTCAGCACAAGCCATCAGCCTCCAGGAACGGGCTGGACAGCCTAATTTAAAGCAGAAGGAAACAAAAATGAATAATAAGGGAGACAAGCGAGCAGACAAAAAGCAGTGGTGACATTTGCATAGAGGAGGCAGCAAACAGTTGGCAGTGTGGATTGAAGAGAGGGTTTATGTTTTTTTCATGTAATTTGAGACTCTAATGATGGACTTATGTTGCCCG